TTGTTCTGATCATCTGGGCCAAAAATTGATATTCTATCCTCCTGTTGTGACATCTCGCAAGTCAACCAAAACGGTGTGTAGACCTATCACAGAGTATGGTAAGTTAGTTTACTTTAACCTTGTAGACAATTTGACGTGGGATTTTATTCAGGACTGTTCTTTGGACTGTACACAAAAATTTGAAATATTGATTAATAACTTGCAAACTTGTATATATAAAGCATTCCCAGAAAAAGTACTTCCTAGTAGATGTGATTTGACATACAATGCAAACTGGTTTAATAGCGACCTCAGAAATATGAGAGAACATTTATTTTTCCTAAATTCCCTGTATAACAAAGAAAAATCTGTTTACATGAAAAAAAGACTAAACAGTTTTAAGAAAAAATATAAACAAAAAATAAATGCAACGAAAAAAATTATAATGAACAAATCATTAAAAGGTCTAACAACTCAATGAAGACTATGTGGGAAATTGTTAGGAAAAACAAAAATAGAAGCACTGGTATGAATACGTCAAAAGAACCAAATGAATTCAACAACTTTTTCTGTACCATTGAGAATAAACTGTTAGAAAAGTTGTATGCAGGAGAGCTACATCCAGAAAGTAATATACCTCCACCAATGCGCCACTTTTTAAAAAGGTATCATTTAATGATGTTAGAGATGCTATCAATTCTCTTAAAAGAAAGAACTCTAAAGATATTTATGATATGAGCACTCTTTTAATAAATATGATCAAAAATCAAATCATAATGATTCTAACCAAATTAATAAATATTTACATTGAGTGTGGCATATTTACGGACTGCTTAAAACGTGCAGTTGTGATACCGGTTATCAAAAATGGCGATACTGACGATATCGCAAGCTATCGCCAATATCATAACTTCCTATTCTCAGCAAAATTTACGAAAAATGATTGGTGCGACAAATGGTCTTACATTTTGAAACTGATAACATGTTCTATTTGAACCAGTTTGGATTTCGATCTCAAAAAAACACTACCTTCGCAGTTTTGGAGTTGGTCGACGACATAATTGACGCTTTTGAAGAAAATGAATTCTTGCAGACCATATTCTGTGATTTGGTCAAGGCATTTGACTGTGAATCACATACCATCTTAATCAGAAAGCTCAAAATGTATCACTTCGGAACAGCTTCTTGCATCCTAATCAATTCGTATTTAACAAATAGAAAACAGTTAGTAAAAATCGGAATTAAAACGTCAGATGAAAAGCATATTGAACACGGTGTAACCCCAGGGCTCAGTTCTTGGGCCGATTTTATTTCTAATATATATCAATGATCTGCCGAGCCACAAAGATGGAAATTATATACTATTTGCTGATACTGCCATCTCTGTTCGATCAAAAACATTTATGAGCTTCTTGAGAAAGGTGTGATCGCGCAGTCGACTGCCAAAAACTGGTTTGATGCAAATAAGCTGACTCTGAATGAAAACAAGACAGTTAATATGATGTTTTCATTGAAAGATCCAGAAACACAATATACAGAACATACAAAATTTCTAGGTATACACGTAGATAAAAAATTGAAATGGGATATACACAGTAATGAAACAGCAAAAAAGCTAAGGAAAAACATTTACCTACTTAGAAGCTTATCGTATGAGTTGAATAGTGGTACGTTGAAGTCAGTTTACTTTACTCTATACCACTCTTTGATATCATATGGTATCTTACTTTGGGGTCAGGGTGCGGACTGGCATCGACTATTCTCTTTACAGGGGCGGGCAATTAGGATATTGTATTCACTGAATTATACTGACAATTGCAAACAAGCATTCAAAGAATTGAGGATACTCACATTGCCTTCAATATATGTATATGAAGCACTGATATAGGCTAAACAGTATTTAAAATGCTGTTCGCATTCCTCACATACTGACTATGATACAAGGAGTGCTGGGAACTTAAATATTCCTTTTGTAAGATTAACGAAAAGTCAGAAAAGTTTAAAAATTACTGCACCCAAATACTACAATAAATTACCGCTGCAAATCAGATCCTTAAATTTAAATGCCTTTAAACAGACAATAAGAAGTTTCCTTGCTGAAAATGCTTTTTATTCATACCATGTGTTATTGCTTTTTGAATTATTTGTATTATTTCACTGTACCTTTTTATATATTATTATATATACACATTTGTCATCTGCAAAGTGGATTAAAATATTATTATCTATGTATACTATAAACATTTTGTTACACACTGACGTGTGTAAGTACAATATGTACACTAACACCAATAAAGTATTGTATTGTATCATCGTGATCATCGTCAGCATCGTCATCATCGTCATCATCGTCATTATCGTTATCATCGTTATCATCGTCATCATCGTCATCATCGTCATCATCGTCATCATCGTCATCATCGTCATCATCATTATCATCATCATCATCATTATCATCATCATCATCATCATCATCATTTTCATCGTTATCGTTATGATTATTATTATTATTATTTTTTTGCCATGTGGCATTTTTATCCTCATTCTGGTAACATTCACTCATCCCAGATGCATACGGCATCAAAGGGTATGAGTTTTGTCGCAACTTGTTACGCAAGGACGTTACTTTTCGCATTTCCCATGAACTTCCGAACTGTTCGAGCAGTTGCCAATAAAACTCCCATCTGCATCGTCTTGTAAATATTGTCATTGAGCCCCATTTTCTTGATATTATCCAGCAGCGTTCTTGGGATTACTACGGTTGATGATAGAATGATTGGGATGGTATCAACACTGTCCATCTTCCATTTTTGCTTAATTTGAAGTTCGAGCTCCCTATACTTGGCGATAATTTCATTGTGCTGTGTCAGTAAGTTGTTATTGTTTGGTATGGCGATGTCGATGAGGGTTGTTTTACTCAGATTCTTATTGACAACAGTTATATCTGGGCTGTTATGTCTCGTGTGCTGGTCGGTGAGGACAGTGCGGTCCCAATATAGCTTACATTCTTTATTTTCTAAAATGCTTTGCGGTGTGTATTTATAATAGGGTGACATTTGATCTGTCAGCTTGAATTTGTAAGCTAGTTCTTGATGTAGGATTTTGGCCGCTATGTCATGTCTTTCCCTATAGTCCGTCGCGGCAAACGCCTGACACCCTCCAGTCACGTGCTGAATAGTTTCAGAGTCTGGGCATCCGAATCTGCACCTCTCGTTGTGTTGAGGAACTTTGAGGATGTACTTCTTATACGAGCCTCTTCTCGCTTCAGTTGGCCCGACTATTGAAATCTTAGTTTTTTTCTTATCAAACACAAATAATAAAAATGTAGCAGGGTGTTATAGGTTCAAAATATTAACAAAGAATATTTTGATAATATATAGTAGAAAACACCAACTTTATCACTCCCTAATCAAATTTGCAGCATAAAAATAACACATGTTGCAATTACAGCATATCAACCTATTTTCATTTCAATGCAAAATAAGTCTATAACGCATAGGTGGCTGTGAAAAATAAAAGTCATGACAATTGTTTTTATTAATCACAGCTGTCATAATACGTTTAAAATAGTTTTGGGTAGTTAAGGTTTTCAAAATGGGTAGAGGAAAGGTTATTAGTGAGAAAATTCGGTTACTGATAATTAATTTTTTTAATTCTGGGAAATCAAACTCAGAAATTGCAACTTTGTTAGACTTATCGCGGTACAGTGTGAGAAATATTGTTAGAAGATATAACTTAACAGGTTCAGTTAATATTAAGCCACGATATGTGAAAAAAAGTAATATCACAAATGCCGACCGAAGAGCATTAAGAAGAATAATCGTGAAAAACAGGCGTGCCAATTATTTACAATTAAGTGCTCTGTGGAGTGACGCTGTTGGAAGGAGAATTTCGAGGTCCACAACTCACAGAGAGGCCCACAAACTGGGATTTAGCACTTGCACGGTAAGTTTTCTTATAAAAAAAGTGAAGTAAAAACCCTAAAGTTGCACAACTTGTTTATAGACCAAAGAAAAGCCACTATTAACTCCACTGCAAAGAGAAGTTTGTGTTGGTGACAGTCGCAGTAGAGTTATTCGCAAAAAAATGAAGCATTCTATGTTGACTAAAGAGAAAAGTGAAATTTCCAGCATCCATTATGGTCTGGGGCAGTATGTCATCAAAAGGAGTAGGAAAACTTCATTTTATTGATGGAAATGTGGATACAAACAAATATTTGGCAATTTTAGAAGAATCGCTTTTACCAGTGATGGAAGAATGTTTGACATCCGGCCCAGATTTTGTGTTTCAGCAAGATGGTGCAGCGTGCCATACCTCAAAAAAGGCTATAAAATGGATGGAAGAAAATAATGTACCACTTTTGAAATGGGTTTCTAGCAGTCCAGATCGGTCACCTATTGAAACTTTGTGGCACGAGATGAAAAAGGTTCTACGACAACATCCTGCTCGTACAATCACCGAACTGAGACAAAAGCTTCAAGAAATATGGGATTGTTTTACACCAAATTTTTGCCAAAACTTGGTTAACACTATGCCCCAAAGAATTTCAGCCGTAATAAAAAATAAAGGTGATGTTACCCAATGGTAATCTTTCAATAGTTGCTTTGTTAACTTCGGGAATTTATTCGCACATTGTGTATTTGTTCAGATGTTCTATTAGTTATAGGTCTAAGTGATTTCAAATATGTATTTTTTACGACTAGAGTGTATCTAAAATGTTTTTGAGAAAATAAATTGTTTTAGAAGTAAATAGTTTCGTCATGTTTAGTTTATAAAGGCATATTTTGGTACAAATCTTGAAGTGGGCCAACTAAAGTGGGAAGGGGCTCGTTCTTGCAAGAAGATTGTTCCGTTGAAAAATGTGTACTACTATTACCGAAATTCCTGATCGGTCACGTCCTATTCTTAGAACTTATTTTTTCTTAAAAACCATGCTTTGCCGATTAAGAAAAAATGTTATTCAGCGGTACAATACTTTTGTGATATTTTTAATTACACGAACATGTTTCCCATATTTCTAGTGAAATCCTGATGAACGCTCTACGTGCTACTGAGGTGACGTTGCATCTTGGCCAATATCCGTCCTGTCCAAGATTTCAGAGGCAAGTACTTACACCAGAACAGATACTTCCTGTCCATTATGATAGCATGGTGAGTATTCATAGATTCTTCACAAATGATAATGTTGCTACTGTACAGTATGTTGCATGAATACTAAACAACTCAAGAAACATATGGAGTATAAGTCGCTGTTCTCACCAAAAGCAACTCGCCTTCAACCTGATTTCGACTTTGTATGTCATTATTATATTTAGCTAACGGCCACAGTGCCGATCCAACAAAGGTACTTCTCCATAGCCTTTATGTGTTCTTTGAAGTGATTCATTTGGAGCAGCAGTATTGAAAACCTTCCAGAACTACAGTTTATACAAGCAGTGTAACAAGCAATTTAATAGTGTACAAGTGACCATCGACTCAAGAAGTATGTTTGCGTACGAGGTGTTACTTTCCGCGTTCATTGTATATTATATTTATCATGTATCGGCAGTTTTGCCACAAAACAAAATATCACATAGGTTGATTGATTCATCATGAAAACAGTATACATTGTTATATTTTGAATTCTTACTAGTATCTAGTTTTTTCACAACCTCAAAACGAGACCAAATCGGGTTGAAGACGAGTTCCCGTCGGGCTGCTTTTGGAGTCCATTAAAAATCGGTTAGTTAGGAAAATTATGCCGCCTAGCTTATTTGCTTACTTATTTCATGTTGTATTTATAAATAATTGCCAAATTCCATGAATAGGTCTATAGCATTTTTAATATATATTAATCATTGTAATATTTACGTTTTAGTCGAGAGCCTATACATCTACCCCTAATCATACGTTATCACATTCGGAACATATTCCTGGTGAAAAAAGACTGCTGGTAAAAGTGATCCGTGCTAACCAGCTTGGCCTGAGTGAAGGCTGTCAAGAACCATACTGCGTGGTTGAAATGGACGAACCACCGCAGAAGCATCAAACGGCTGTACAGAAACATACGAATTCACCATATTGGGATGAACACTTTCTATTGTAAGTCTTGACTAAATAGTTTTCATAAGCAACTGAGCTCAATAGTACAAACACTATTTGAGAACAATATTAATCTGTTTAATCTTCGAGGAAATCAATAACAGACTAAATTTGTGCATGGCAGGAACAGTTGACGTTCTAAGAGTGTTACAGTTTTAAATGTAAAAATACATTTTTATAGGTATCTCAAAGTTATTCGAAAGGAGCGATCACGTCACGGCTAAATCGCTAATATCAAAAAAGTAACGATATCAGGTATCAGAGATATTGAAAAATAACGATATCTGCTATCTCTAGAGGGTATTATTGATAACCTATGATTGATCAATGTTTGGCTTCTTATAACCAAGATACAGGCTGGTTCAACGATTTTGCCCATTTCTTTGTAGCTTCACAACTTTTCAACCACCTATATACTTTTTAAAACTTGGTACGCGAAGTCAAGTTATTCTATCGATTCGATTATGATACCAACCATTTCAAATTCCAATATGCAGTATGTTGCTTTCAGATTTAACAGATTTGTAAATTTTATATCTTTGGAATGAACACTACTTTGACTTCGGAATGTAAAAGTGTGCTAAGCACATTCTGAAAATTCATGCCAGGTGTGGTAGTAGTTCATCCAGGCCCCATTAAGTAGGGCAGGGTAAATACTATCAATGCCTAGTGATTTGAAGTGGGAGAAGCTAAATATTGCCCTTATCTTATCCTCATACGATCTGATTTGACAATCCATCTCAGATGAGAATGAGTCCCTATTAGCTTATTAGTGTACTCTTGCAGGTTGGCTGTGTCATTTTCACCCTCTTTTTGGAGTATACCAGTGTTGCCTTTGGCTAGTACTTTGTAGCCTCGCAGCCTGCTCTTCAATTTCCCTACAGTACGCTCTCAGCTGCTTCCTTTGTTTCGGTCTAACTTTCTTAACTTGCTCTGTTGGGTCTTGTTACCAATCTTTGTCTAGTCATTTTGGATTCGGGCAAAGATTTTCTTGCTCTTTAAGCTTTCAAGGGATAGGAAGCTCCAAATGCTTTGTTTATAGCATATATATATCTGTATATATATATATATATATTTTAATTTTCATTTTTGCTCATACAGTATGGTCAAAAACGCGAATTGTACTTTTTCTCAAAAATTTCAAAAGTATGTTTGTGCAAGTTTTGATTCAATTTTTTATAAGCTTTTTTTTGGTATAAGGTTTGATTCAGGTAAAATCACTAGATTTTGAGTTATTAAGCTTTTAATAGAACAATACACCAAAATTAAGGAAAAAATCACATCATCCATGGAAACAAAAGACAAACAGTGGGCTAGTTCCACTAAGAGTACAGATTTGACGTAAAAACTAATAACAATCAGATCAGTATCAATCAGCTTCAAGCGTAATTGAGAAAAACAACAACATAAACAAACAACTATCACTACTCAAGACCTAATCTACAAAAACTGCTCGAAAATATCTCCCACCATGTTGAATACACAGCAGCAGTCTTTGGATAAATGACCGTTGTATATCCCTTAGCATGTCTTCCCTTATGTTCAGAAAAGCATCCTTAACCCTTTCGGTACGGTTGCCGGATATATCCGACAGGAAGCAATATGGCCCTGCGGCCTGGTGACGGATATATCCGTTCAAGGTTATTTTGTATAATGACACTTGTGCCGTTTATTTCCGACTTTTTTGAAAACTTACATTCACCGAGAGACTGCCGACGACTTTATCCGACGTATAACGCATTGTGGATGGCCTGCTGTCGGAATAACCCGTCAATGTCGGAAATATCCGACGGCAGTCGAGCATGGTAGCATGCCATGTACCGTAAGCTTCAGAAGCGTCAGTTCGTTCGATCATGTCAAACGAGGAGGCCAGTTCGTCTCAGGGCACTAAGCGGCCGAAAAGGCGTAAAGTAGATTGTAGCGGATATTGTGGTTTAACTGAGGAGGAAGTCAATAGTATTTTAAGTCTGGTAGATGAAGATATTTACTTGTCTGACGTTAGTGAAGAAGACCCCTTTCTCGATAGCGGAAGCGAATATTGTCCATCTTCTGAGGACTCTGAGAGCGATCTGGATGAATTGGAACCGGAAAATGAACAAGAAAATCAACAGGAAGAGGTAGGAAACGTTGAAGATAATATTACTCACCAAACAGTTCTGGAAATAATTTGGACAAAAAATTAGTTTCTACCGAAAATACATGAATTTGACACGACCAATAGCGGTGTAAAAGACCAAAACCTCGACGAAAACTCAAAGGAAGTCGACTATTTTCTTAGTTTGTTCACAGAAAACATAGTGGATGTTATTTTGGATGAAACAAATAATTATGCACGCCAACAAAATGCAAAAAACTGGAAGCATTTAGAACGTTCCGAATTTTACGTTTTTCTGGCTTTGACGTTGCTTATGCCTCGCAATAAAAAAGTGAACTTGAAGGAATATTGGTCCCAAAACCACTTACTGCTTTCACCTGCATTTAGCAAACATATGTCAAGGGACAGGTATTTTCAATTACAAAGATATTTGCATTTCTCCAATAATGAAATCGCTCCACCTGGTAATAGATTGTTCAAAGTTGAGAACGTGCTAAATATATTGAAAGAAATTTTCAGTCTCAATTCTATCCATTTCAAAATTTGGTTATAGATGAGAGTATGATTCTTTTTAAAGGAAGACTCAGTTTTAAACAGTATATCAAGACCAAGAAACATCGTTTTGGAATTAAACTCTACGTGTTGTGTGATTGCGAAACAGGAATTGTCTTAGACTTTATAATATATTGTGGAAAAGACACTAATATAAAAGCAGAAGACAAGAATAATCTTGGTACTATAGGGGCCGTTGTTGCAAAACTTTTAGAGCCATACCTCAACAAGGGACATTCTCTTTATACGGATAATTTTTACACCAGCCCTACACTTTCAACTTTTTTGTTACAACATAAAACAAACTCCTGTGGAACTGTAAGGCAAAATAGGAAACATATGCCAGTAGGTATTTTATAAAAAATTAAAACAAGGAGATACTGACTGGAGAAGTAGTAAAAATTTATTGGCAATAAAATGGAAAGATCGGCGGGATGTTGTGATGCTGACCAGTATGCATGAAAATAGAATGGTTACTTTGCCGAAAATAAATCGATCTACATATGAAAATGTAATAAAGCCGTTATGTGTTCTGGAATACAACCGTCAAATGGGGGCTGTCGACAGATCAGATATGATGCTGAGTAGCGTAGATTGCACTCGAAAATGTCTGAAATGGTATAAGAAGTTATTTCTCCATTCGATTAACATAACATTGCTAAACGCACATGCAATGTTTTCCACAAGACATACTAAGAAGACTTCATTCGCCAATTTTCATCTAGCGGTTATTGCTCAACTTATAGAAAGGTAAAGATTTCTTTGTAGTTTTCGATCCTATTTGCTAAATGCTTTTTTTTTGCAGGTATGGCATAGTAAAATCTATACATTGCGATTTGGGCAATGCCAGGCTTCAGAATAGACACTTTCCGGTGTCAGTTCCACGAAAACCAGGCAGTACTAAGGTTGGATCCAGAAGATGTTGGGTTTGTTCCCATACAAAGCAGAAGCAAGCAAAAAGAAAAGAGTCCAGCTATATGTGCCCAGAATGTGACGTTGGATTATGCGTGGTCCCTTGCTTCAAAATATATCACACAGAGGCTACTTTTTAATGTTTAATGTTCTAATGTTCAATGTGTTTATGTTTTCTGTAACTTTATCTAATAAAATAATTGTTTTAATATAACTTGCTCATATTAATTCATAAAATGTGGGTAGTTTTCTTAGGTGACGGATATTTCCGACGGCAGGCCAATGACCAATGTAAAAGTCTCAGGCCGTAGGAATAAAAATGTTCAGTGACAAGCCGTACCGAAAGGGTTAATCCTTTCCTTCATATTTTCCGGGGTAGATGGTGGATATCTATAAACCTCTTCTTTAACGTAGCCCCATAGAAAGAAGTCCATCGCTGTCATATCTGGTGATCTAGGAGGCCAAGATATTGGCCTGTCACGACCGATCCAACGATTGTTACTCCAGGTGTCCAAATAGTTTCGCACACGATTATGATAATGCGCAGGTGCGCCGTCATGTTGGAAGTACATATGCATCCGAGTTTGCAGGTTGACATCCTACAAAAGTAGAGGCAAATCAAAAAATTCAAGTATTCTGTAGATGTTAATCTGTTGTCGAAAAAGAAAGGCCCGATAACTTGTCTGCCAATAACTCCTCCCCAAACATTCAAGCTCTATTTATTTTGGAAATCTATTTGTCTAACCCAGTAAGGGTTTTCCGTCGCATAATAATGCATGTTATGCCTGTTGACAACACCTATGCTGTTAGAAGTTGCCTCATCGCTAAGAAGAACCTTATCCAGAAAAGTAGTGTCTTCACTCACTTTATTTAGCATTATTCTACTAAATTCCATTCGAGCTGCGAAATCCTGAGGACGAAGGCATATATCAGTTTTTGCTCCAATTTGCCGTGCACGTAAATGGGGAATTTCCTGCAACTTTAATAGAAGCTCCAACTGACTCGTCTCATTGGTGACACTTGGATTATTTATACATTTTTTACTATATTCCACTGCTCCACTTGATTCAAAACGTTCTCATAGTGTGGAAAATATGTCCGGCCTTGGATGTCGCATATTAGGGTACCGTTGCTTATAAATGCGAGATGCTTGGAAACTATTTCTTTTGGCTTCGCCCAAAACGAACACCATAAAAGACGTGCTAATAACCGAAAAAATAGCCGTAAAAACCCTTATGTGTCTAGTATAAAAAAAAATATAAAAAATTGAATCCAAACTTGCACAAATATACAGGGTGGATGCATTTCAAATTTTTGAGAAAAACTACAATTTGCGTTTTAGACCACACTGTATAAGCGGAAATTAAGATTCGAAAAAGTAACAAATAAGATAAACGCTGAGATGTGTAAGTTTTTTTTTATACAAAATTCAGCATTCCAAATTTCAAAATGACGGACTGAGGGGTTGCCGAAGAGACAAAGCACCTTATATCTCAGTATCTAATTACCAAAACCCCATAGTATGTTATATCAATTTTCTTCTTTTGGATTGGTTTATCCAAATATGCAATAAAATTTGAGGCATTCCATTTGAAAAATCACAACTTTGATATATAGGTCGAAATTGGGACACCGTGTATAATAGCCAATATTTTAGAAATGTGCCCTCAAATGTCATGCATAACATAAATAGATTTTCCCAAAATGTATTTGTTTATGAATAATATTCCGTCTACACATGGTTGGGCCACCCTTTATATACGTATATACGAGCAGTAGTCATTGCCATTGCCAACAACCAGTTGGGCAAGAAATACAGTTAATTATTAATTGGGAATTTGGCAAGCTTTAAGCTTAGTAAACTCTTTTGACGGTAATCTCGAGCTTTCGACACGCTTTGGTGTCATCTTCAGGAGCTAAAACACAAATATGAAGCTAGCAACTAATTCAGAAACGATTTAAATTTACAGAAAACTTACTCGTCGGTGAGGTTGCAGCCAAATGGTGTTTTAAAACGAAAGCGTGGACGAGAACACTTGTTGCAATTGTAAATCCAAAAGGACGGACACGTTGGGTTTGTTGGTATCAACGGAAACCATAGCTAGGTGTAACCACTATATATCAATATCAAACATTTTCAAGTAATTAAAAACTAGTACTGCATTTTGGGAGAAACAACAGCAGAGTCCCGTCTAACCTCGTACGTTTGTTTCACGTGGTGACAATGAGTGAACCGGAAAAGTGACGCGTCGACAGATGACAGATGAACGTCGCGAAGGAATGTGGAAGTGTAAAAATCATTGCCAAATTTCAGGTAAAGTGTATATGAGGGACGTTTGGAACAACTTTTCATATTTCCCAAAATACTGGATTAGTTTTGTTTTAGAAAAGTGTAATTTATATGAGCATAAGATGGTAATCACACCTGAACAGATGGGTTGTGTGACGATTTATTAATATTTAATATTACTATGAGACATTGAAAAATTCCTTCATTTGATATAATGGAAATTCGTTCTAATTTTGGGACGATGTTAGACTAACTGGAATATGTAGTCGTTCCAATTTTTCGCAATTCAACAAGTAAGAATAAATGACACTAAGTTGCTTGACATCAAATTTTTGGGACATTCCTAAAAAATAGACGATTTTTCAGCTGTTGTTCATTATCAACAACCCTAATACTGCCATAACTCATAGAATGACCTGGGGTGTTAACATGTGATGCCAAAGCACATCTCTCTGGATGTAATCTGGCGTCACTTTTGTGTGAGGTTATCCTGCCTTTTAGTGATCTCGATGTTTGGAATATGTAAACTAAATTGCAGTTGTTACAATTAATGCAATAGACAGTGTTGATTGAATCAAGCAACGGAACCCTATCCTTCATTTTGGAAAACACACTGCTGACTGTGAGAACTGATTTACAAGCAAAACGACAATTTAAGGAATTATACAGCCTGATCAGTTTAGGAGTTAATTCTTTAATGTATGGCAAGACAACATTTGCAACATAACAAAAAACTGGACCGATGAGGTTCTTCGACAATGTGTTCTCTTTCACTGTCGTTTAAGAACAATTTCAGCAACAATCTTGCCGATTTAGTTAGTAATGTTTTTTCTCTAATTGTTTATTGTTGCTATTTTTCCAAAAATTGGTTTTTAGCTCCAGACGATGATGGCATAGACCATCGAAAGCTCGAGTTCAAGTTAAAAGGGTGTACTTATGCAAACATTTACATTTGCCTTCATCTCAAAGAAATTTAAGGATATTTTCTCCTAACAGTTAAGGCAATTAACTACTATATGAATTATTTATCCATATATATATATATATATATGGATAAAACAAGTAATCCATGAACCGTTATATTTAGAAGATCATGCCAAATCTTTTTAGACTAGGTGTATAAGCCTCAATTACCTGTAAAATCAGAAATTCTATTTCCTAACATCGTTTTACGTTTTCTAGGTGACCTGCTATAGAAATGCTCTCAAAAGATTGTGCAGGCTTTAACCAGCTTGTCTTGTAGGCAACTGTCTGAATTGCAGGGAGCTATAGATTTTTTCAAAAATGTGAATGTTAAATATCGAAACGTAACGCCCTTTTCACATGATCCCGCGCCCGCCGCACGGCGCGCGCCTGAGAAGCCTGATACCGTCACACGAGGTAGGTTTCGTCCGGCGCGAGCTGCGCGGCGCTCCCGTATTTTGACTGTTCAGTTGAGGCTAGCTATTTGAAATAGACACAGCGAGGAAGAAGAAAGTACTAGCCATGTACTTGATATGGAGACGGCGAATAAGAAGAAAAATCGACAAAGTTTTGTTCAACTCGTTGCGGAACAGTGAGAAAATATTCTTTTCGTACTTTCGTGTGCTAATAAAATTATTTGATGAACTTTATGATGTTCATCTGGAAATTTCGTCTTCAAATTGACCAAGGATTCGATGGTTAAAGTTTGTCTACATACTTTATTAACACCCTGTATCGCAGTATAAATCAACTTCAAGCGTAATAGAGAAAAACAACTATAACAACAACCTTTGCCTTTGCCTTTGAGGCAGCAGCGGTGGCCGCAGTAGTAGACTCTTCAGTCTCCTGATCAGTCGCCGTGCGCTGTGCGGGTTCGAGTCCCGTCCCAGGAGAAATTTTTCTCTTGGCTATGGATGTTGTGATTGTCCGTAGGTGGTAGACGGTCTCTGACCATCTAACGCGGAGGTACCACCCGGCGGATCTCGTAGGCGGAGCCAGAATGTGTGCATGTTGCATGCACACGTGTTCCCTCGCCAGAGTCCTTGTGGTGTTCCCTCCTTTCCCATGTAAGCAATTTATAAACTCCCAAAACGAAAGGGTTCACTTGAACGAACGTCCTTATGAGAATTTGAGAGACTGGTTGGTCAACCGGAAGCAGCACGCGCCACAAATAATGGTTTGGGCCCCTGTATCCGCGGATGGGCACTCTCTAGTCGTTTTCAATGAGACTGGCGTCAAAGTAAATGCGACATACTATCGGTAAAGTGTTCTGGAGGCTGCTTTGAAGCCGTGGTCAGGCAAACATTTCGGCCGCAGGCCATGTACATTTCAACAAGACAGCGCGATTGAACCAAGAATGGCTGAAAAACAACGTTCCGAACTTCAATTTGACCACACAATGGCTCTCGAATTCACCCGACGCAAATCCAATAGATTATTCTATCTGGGCCATTTTGGAGAGCAAGGTCCGAGCTAGGAAATACACCAGCCTCGAGACACTGAAGAAAGCCAATGTCCGTTAGTGGGCCAAAATATCGTCAAGTCACATTCGGGCAGCTTGTGATTCGTTTTTGGATCGTCTCGATGCTATAGTCAAAGGCAAAAGGTGGTCATATTGAGCCAAAGTGAATCATTTCTGCATTTTCGAATATTTTCACACAGTCTGTACTTTGGAATAAATGAAAATCATGTTCCATACCGAGTTTATGGCATTTTGAGTGCCGGACCCTGTAGAGGCCTGGGCCGTGCGGCGTAGGGCAGTTCGGCATCTGTGCCGTACGGTGCGCGCCAGATATTATGTGAAAAGACTCATCTACTCCCATAGCCCAACGCCGCATCAGGCGCGCGCCGTACGGCATGTGATAAGGGCGTAACCCGGCGAAACCGGATGAATAATATATTGAAGTTAGCGATAGGGATTTTGCTTTTCGCCTATAACTTTGGCCTATATGTGTTATCTCAAATAATTTGGTATGACCTTATAACGATATTACTAAACGATTGGAGTTAATCTTAATTCCTATCATGTTTCAATATCATTTCAGCGATGTCTCACCTAATACAGCAGAGTTGTTGTTTGAAATTTACGACCATGCTGTAAAACCTTATAAATTCCTTGGACTGGGCATTGTCGGTGTAGATGAACTGCTGGTAAATCCATCTCAAAGACAGACAATAACTCTCCAAAGTCGACCTTATGAAAGTGACGCAGTTAGTGGAACGCTTACCGTAGAGGTCAGTATTTTGGGACAAATACACAGAGTATGCAGTCTAGCCATAAGAATAATTAAGTTTTATTTGTTAACTACAGATTTAGACTAATAGGAGCCTTGAAGAAGGGCATATATTGTCCGAAACGTCGGCAACTTTGAAAGTGGAGCTATATTTCTTTCGACCCACTTCCATCTAACAAAATGTTTCTCAATTTTATATTTTTATTTCAGTTCCTTTTTATCGAAGGTGCAGACATTCCTAATATAGGAAGCACACAACCATACAAAATTAAAGAGTCTATAAGGACGCCATCACCAAGTAGGGTTAAATTAACTACCTCAACAAATTCCTACCATACCGGTATGTATAAAAAATAATACATGAAGTTGTTGAATTTATCATTCCTTATAGAGAAACATATTTTAAACATCTCTTGTTTGAAAATGTAGAAGCTCTCTACGCTTCTGGCCTACACTCCACTGCAATTACCGTTCTTTTCTTTACACAGAAGCACTCGCGCAGGCAGAAGCTTAAATGCCAGGGTACCGCGACTGCTCTGAGGAGCTTAAATAAACTTTGTTATCCGATTTTTGAACTGACCAAGGTTAGCAGAACTGCGAAATTCCCCCTCATGCAGATTGTTTGACAATCTCAATACCCTAGAGAAAAAGGAGAAGTTCGTATCGTCCGGTTCTGGATGAAGGAATTTCGACCCGGTTAGGATGGGAGGCCGAAGTGAGGCGGGTCTGTCTGGCAGACACTTCACGAGGCGGCATCATGGAAGAAGAGCTCTGAGGAGCAAAGCGGTAGAAGAGAGTACTTGTTAGCCCTAAACAAATAGCATAGATTTTTTTCAGCAGCTGATGCTATTGACGTGATGTGTGTGTGTGTGTCAGATCAAGTCCTCTTCGATCTGGACTCAGACCAGCCAAAATGAACGGCCCTTTGGTAGAACTCGGCTATCCATCGAAACCGGCACCGCTATTATGTAAAAAATCTATAAAACGCAAAAAAACAATAAAATGTCATCTTGCAGACTAGGTAGTTTTTAGGGTGCAAATAGTTTATTCCACGTTTGCTCGCTATGATCGCTGTGAGCGTCCATCTATGGAGGAATGTCTCAACTACACGCATTGTTGGTAGCAGAAACCAAGTATATGTTTAGTGAAGATGAGTAGTCTGTAGTGTTTATCTCTGAGATGTGAAAGAAAGAAAGTTGGTTGAATAGCAAGATCGCATCTGGATGATTATGTGTATTGGACTGCATGCGTATAGAATCAGTGATATTTGCTGTGTGCGAAAATTGTTACTGAATATGCTGCCAATGAAGTGTATCTATCAGCTGTGCTCGACGGGTTATTTATATGTTGTCCTTTCTGAAGACAAAGTTATACATTTTTCCCGTTTTTTGTGTTTTTAAAAACTTTGAGGAGCACTACGGGAAATTGTCACTGCGCCCGCGTTATTTGCTATTAAGCCTCATCACAGACAAATTAGGGATGACGCATCACACATCAAACATTTTCGTAATGCCTCGCATCGAGGCGCTGATTTGTATTTTCTATTGGCATCACAAAATAAATTTCTATAAAATTTAAATGACTGGAAATAAAAAATAATGTAATAATCTTTTCACTTTGATAAATATTCCTGTCCCTTCACCAACCAGGGATTTTCTTTTCTTATCTCTGTCATTTTTTAAATTCAGCAAATATGCATTGTAATTTCCAGAATGAATAGGAAAAAGTGGATGCGCAACTAATTTCTAGCTTTGAGCGTATTTGAGACAAGAAACCAATGGAGTTATCATCAACACATATTATTAGCACACAATTCCTCACTATGCTCTGCCGTTTCCTTCTAGTTGTAGCATTAACCTTACAGCTTAGACGTCTAACAAAGCCATCTCTGAAGCAGATTTTACATCACATCAGAGCCAAATATTGATAACTGAATCATCATGACGTTTAGGCAAAAGTATAACCTCAAAACGAGTTCATACCAAGGGTCCATCAGCTAGTGCTAAGTTAACATCTTGTAGAAACACCTACCTAATGTCACAAAAAAACAATGTATGCTAATAAAAAAATCGACATAATGTCACTTATCAAGATATGTAATATCCGTGCGGATGAGCGCTAGGACGCTTTTTCTTCGTCAAGGAGAGTACTGTGTTTTGGAAGCATTAAACTGTAACCTCCAGATCTCTTGTCAGAGATGAAGTCGCTGTTAGTCTTATTTTCTTAAGCTCATCGGCAGAGATTGGCTTGCCACTCTGAAAAAGTCAAATTTTTGTAAATTTTTTTTGACAAGATGTCAACTTAGCTGTAGCTGTTGTACACTTGAGAACTCGTTTTGTAGCTGTGCATTTGGCTCTGATGTAATGTAACATCTGCTTCAGGTATGACATTATTGGATGTCTAAGCTGGAGGTTGGATCCACTTTTTACTTATTCGTTCTGGAAATTACATAGGCAAATTTGCTGTATTTCAAAAATGATAGAGATAAGAAAAGAAAATCCCTGGTTGGTGAAGTAATTAAGATTATGTGGAATCTTATATTTTATACTTACATACTGCCACATATTGCAATTATATTCACGGTAAACTGTCGAATTACAAGTCATTTACATGCTAACAGTAATTACACTCATAGCGGGCGCATTGTTGATTTCCCGTAATTCTGCTTAAAGTTTTTGAAAACACAAAAAACGGGAAAATCGTAATTTATTACTTTGAACATAACCTATCTTCAGAAAAGACAAAATATTAATAGTGCGTCGGGCACAGCTAATAGATAGTCTTCAATGGCAGCATATTCAGTAATAATTTTCTCACATAGCCAAATATCACTGATTTTATACACATGCATACCAATTACAGATAATCATCCAGCTACGATTTTGCTACTCAACCAATTTTTTTTCTTTTACACCTTCTCAGTGATAAACATTACTTGACTTTTTGTAACCAACAATACATGGTTGAGCGTGTCGTGTCGTTGAGTCATTCCTCCCTAGATGCATACCTTTGATGACGCTCACAGCGATCATAGCGCACAAACGGGAATGAACTATTTGCACACTTAAAACTACCTACTCTGAAAGATGACATTTTGTCGTATGGCGGATATCTCACCCATCTGCAAAGCTTCTCTGAGAGGCCTTAGAGTGGAAGTTTGCATAAGATGGCGGCATACCACAGCTGTTCGAACTCTTTCGTGATATCAAGAGCAAAGACATGAGCCCCACCAGACGTAATCTCGGAGGTCCCGTGTGGATCGCTGGTACCGGAATCCATACTGCATGTCGCTAATCAAGTCGTGACGTTCGAGGTACTCCAGAAGCTCCCAATTTAAGTAAGGGTCGGTCTTAGATCCTTTATTTGGTATGGGTTGGATATGAGCAAATTTCAAGTTTTCTGGGAAGGTGCCGAGTTCGTAAGATATCTGGAAGAGACGCAAAATTACTGGAGCAAGCTCCGCTGCACACCTCTTCAAAACAATGGCAGGAATCAAGTCTGGGGCAGCAGCTTTGTTAATTCGAGCGACAAGAGTTTCCGTCTCACGGTCTTATACCTGAAATTTACTACCCACATAGTGTAGGGAACTCTTTGAGTTGACAGCACTCAGGCGTTGGAAAGGATGTCCATGGTGGAGTTGGCAGCAAAGATCTTGGCAACCTGGCACTTACGTGGTGGAAGGCTACTCTGTGAGAAGTTCCTTTCAATCTGCTTGGCCAGCATCCAGAAAGATTGACCGCCATTGCGCTGCAACATTACCCTTTGCCTAATTTTTACATCGTGCTGGCTTTGGCATTGCGGACCAATTCGTATATATGTGTTTATGGATTCGACGTCGGCTTGTGTTTTTTCAACAGTGGGGTTTTTTAAGAATGTTCTCTGTGCCTTGATCTTCTGTTGATGAGCAGTGTCGCACGATTTGTTGAACCAGCCGTTAGACCCTGCCTTAGGCACTTTCACTGTATGAGGCATATTTATATTCATCCATCCCAACGTTGATAATTTCGGTTATTGATGGACCTATAGCTGACGCATCCCGCAGCAGCGAAACAAACATCTCTCAAGGAAAGGTGAAGAACAGTCTCAGAGCCCCTCCCATAAGGCATGTCCGTAATGCCAAATGTTGCGGTCTGGGCGAGTTTCTGCTGCCACAGCGGGTTCTGACCGAAACGTAACCGTGGTCTGAGTTACTCAGGGATACAGGACAACAATGTTGTAAGGGACAGGATGCGTGGTCAGAAGGGGATCCAGCAGGCCACTGGCGTGTAACGAAACGCGGGGACAAAAAGCAGGACTCGTCACCAGCTGGGTCAGTCCTTGGGTAATAGCGAACGCTTGAGCAGCATGAACTGCACGACCGGTCTTGTTTGAGCGCATGGGCATTGAAATCACCGTGGAGAACTACCTCTGAAGCAGGATTGTTGATGTTCAAAAGTTCTATAGACGGATAGATGTCGCCCACCATCATTAAACAGACACCAACTGAACTGAATACTCGTATGTGCCCGTCTCCAACCACATACAACGTGGATGCAAGATTTTTAGCAATCATTCATAGAGTAAAGATGTAGTCGTGTGAAGACATACAAATGGAAAGCAAACAAGCGGGTATGGTCGCTACCACCGAGAGAACATGGCCTTACAACTGAGCTACGAAAAGGCTGTGACGTCACGCTGAGTAGGCTAATTCATATTCTTATGGCATTTCGTCATACTGGCTGGTAAGAGCGGTGTTGACATATCTAGACATGATATACCAGTATCGAAATATCTACTAATTAGTTGTATCTCTCTGTGGACGAATTTTCAAGATGATGATGTGACTATTCTTTCTGATCTGCCTGATTATGTCAAGAGTACAGTTTCGATATTATGTTCAATCTGTCACGTGTAAAGTATAACATTTCATGCAAAAATGGAATATGTGGCAACACCGTAAACATCCAAGAGGTGGCTAGCAGCCAGCTAACCCCAAATTTTGAACTGTTATCATGTATGAATACGTTTCGTTGCTTTGTTGTTTTAAACTTATATTTGTGAACGCCCTGTAAAAAGGGTTTTGACAACATTGCGAGCTATAAGTTTTCTGAGATTTGTTGGCGAGAAAAAGTTTTTAAAAGATGGAAGTTGACCCAGGAGGATCAACAGATGACCCAGTTCCACATACTATGAGGAAATAGCTGAGCGGTGGCGGAAACCAAGCAGAAGCAGAAAACATGAGCTCACTGACGCAGATGTCATCGTAGCAGAAAACGATCGAAAAACTGATGCTGATTATAGACGACCAGGCGAGGCAGATTCGAGGCCTAATGGAGACCATCAAGGATCAGACAGCCAAAA